AAAAAAAAAAAAAAAAAAAAAAAAAAAAAACGAAGTAAAGGCAACGAGTGAATAATTCACAGAACTAATATAAGGTTAGCAAACTGTTCAAATGATACTCACTCGCCCCACACGAATGAATCAGAAAGAAAAAATGAGAAAATAAAGAGCAACCTAAAAAAGATTAAAGTCCAGCTGTTTCCTTCTCAATAATGTAAAAGTCCAGTAAGCTAGATACAGGGAAAAAACAAATAGTTGCATAACTGTAGTTAAAAGCTCACTGAAAGAAATTTCAGAAGCGCTGTAAACTTTCAAATTTGAAAGCACCGAAAATTGCTTTGTACTATACAACGTAACAAAAAACTTCATAACAATTAAGAACTTTTGAAGTTTTTCATCTTCAAACTCTATTAGCTTTGAAAAAAAATGCAAAAACAAATATTCCGAGTGCCAAAAACGTCAAGTCTAGGGTGGTTTCCCAATTAAACATTTCCGTTGGCTTGTGTATTTCACTTAACATTTCACCGGCGTGAACACAGATCAAGTTGTAAGGTATCAAACCTAGAAACAAGCGTATTAAGGTCAAAAAAAACTCGCAGAACAGTTCACATTAAGCGTTCTAATTCAATCTCGACTCCTCAGTCTACCTGCTTTGAAGTTTTAAATTCTCAGAGGTAATTTCTCATTTGCGCATTTCCTGCTAAAAGTGCTTTAACCAATTTGGACACCAATAGACAGTTGTTGATATTTTAGATTTAAGAATAATGGTCAGCGACTGACACATCATTTACAACTGCTGTTATTTTTCCGTTGAATATGACAAAAAAGATACCGATAAACACAGACAACGCATGTTTAGATAGTGATATGTCGAGAAAGGGAGAAAATATATTAAACAACCAGTGCGGGGTTAATGGAAATACGCGAGCGCTCACCAAGAAATAAAGTAATCGAGATTGGTTCTGTCTTACCTGAAAAATAGAAAAGCAATCTTTATAAAAATCACTTTGCAACGAAAATTATCCAGTCCCCAAATGCAATGCAAAGATGTATACAAACCGCTGATTTCAGACTTTGAAAACGAAGGGCAAAAAAGCGGTCAATAAAAGATTTGGCGACCATTGAGCTCAACAGGTAACATCCCGAAGCTCCTATTGCTGACAAGGGGCAAACCAGTAAAGCCGCTCGCCATCTTCCAAAAAGTGCCCCAGCAAGTAAGTTCTGTTAATAAAAATGAAATTATTTCAGAGATCAATAAACAATGTCAAAACTTATGATTACTTCACCGTTACATTTAAAACGTCATTTTTATCTACCTTTCTTTGAGAGTATTTTTGAAACCAATAAAATTTCGCAATTATGGAGATCTGATTTTAAAAACAACAAAAACAATCTATTCAACAGGGAAAGAGTTACTAACATCCACAAACGGAAAAATTCCAGTATCCTTTCAGAAAAAAGAGCTCCTAGGTACGTGAAAACAGCTAAATGCAGGTAAGAAAAAAAAAGGAGGAATGTCCACAAAAGAATTAGACAGCCTCTTTAACATATGGCACTAAAAATAATTGTTTTAAACCAGCCTCACTGAGAATAAGCAGCAGACAGCAATAATCAACACAAAAAAGTCTCCTTAAAAACCAACTGTCCATTCATAGACAAGTACAAGAATATTCCTATGCCAAAAAAATTCAAGTCCTAATATTCTCAGGAAGAAATCAACAGCGGCAACACTTACATAAACAGAATCTAATTAATTTGTATCCTTTACCATAAAGAAAGATCCCGGAATAGCAAAGCATTGTTTATAAAGATACGTCAAAGCAAACAAAAGGAGAACATAGTTGGCATGTTTATCCCTGAAAAAAGTAGTTATTAAGAATTCTTCAGGCCGCGTCTTTCAATCAAATAAAATTTATTATAGCCGTTGAGGCAACTTAAAACTTGTTTTTCCCATGCTTACATGAAAGAATGCGTCTGCATGAGTAAGACGCTGATGCGCAGTGTAACTCAGAAGAACCTGAAAACTTGCAGTATGCCCAATTTCCCTTATATTAATTTCAGATTCGTTACTTCCCACGCCTTTGCCATCCTTTGCTCTTAAACTTTCACTTTCATATTAACAAACAAAAACCGACCAGAACCAGAGGACTCCAAGAGTCAAAACTGGGTTTTAAGTGGGAGTAATTTAAACGGTTTATTTCAAGTAGGTCAATCAAACTATTTTTACACAGCTTTTTGATACGATAAATACATCTAAAAAGTCTTGAAAATAAGTTAGCCACGAATTTGCAGTATTATAATTTTAAGAGCAAATATAATATCAGGTAAAATTCACAAAGAACTTTCTCTAACTTCATTCAACCAAAAATAAGAAAAATGCTTAAAATTAGCAGGATGAAGCAATTCACTCTTTTCTAGCTGTAATTCATCCAGTACGTGGAATTCAAATAATGAGAATAATGTAACTAACTTGTAACGGGAAAAGTACTCTGCAGCAAATTTCAACTGGTCGATAGATGGCGGGATTTGAAAATGACCATCACTAACCGAACTGTCATAATCCTTTGGACCAAGAGTCCAGACAAGGTACAAGATGCCAGTAAAACAAGAAAAAGCAGAGATCAAGACCAGAAATCCCATACACTTTTCTAGCGACCTGAAAGTAAACTGTGCAACTCAAGATTTTCATTACAATTCCCATCAAAAACAACTGGATCCTTTCTTTCAAAAGTGCTTCACAATTTTTAACGCATAAGGCGTCCCCAATGACTTTTAATTAGCAAATGCTTCAAGCCTTCATGAATACTGAACAATTTAACGGAAAATTTTGCTGGAAACAATCGTAAGGTATAAACGATATTTTTTGCCATTTCTTCCGCTTTAAATTAATGAGTGATGCAAAAACTAGTCAAACGATATTAAACTCAAAACTCGGGAAGATGAAGGACGCATTACAAAAGTTACCGGAACTTTTATTATAACCGTTACTAAATAACAACATGCAGCACCGACCAAATATCGACCTCTGAAAGTTGAAAATACTTAATCTAAAAACGTTTGAATTAAAGTTAAGGAGATGCACCGTTGTAAAGAGCAAATCAAAACGTTCAGTCATACTGTCGACCAATTCAAAACTTTAGCGCAGAGTAAAACAAAACAAAAAAAGACTTGATAAGAAAACCAGTAAACGCCACATTCCTATAAAGAGTAAACAACGAATAGGAGCCTCCAATCAAAACAGATAACACTTAATGTTTTAAACCCCATTTATAAATGCTAATCTGTAGCGGATAAAAAATAGGAAACAAATGATACTATATCCAGAAAAATAAAAAATGCAAGAATGATTTAAGACAATCAATCTGCTGCTTTCTTAAAAACTGAGTTAAATCATTGCTTAAAGCCTAAACATGAGAAGCGTTCGCCATTTCGGTGACAATCGTAAAACGCTATTTTTATATTCAGAAATAAGCTCTGAGAAGAAAATTGAACTAAACGATATGAAACTATCAGTACTAACGTAACAAAGTCAATAATAACAGATAAAAACACCGAAGATAAGACCAATCCACCACATAACAGTCGTACAATAGTTGACAATCCAAAAAAACCTTATGTTAAAAAATGTTATTGCAAAAGCTGAAGAAATACAGTTGTCGTCTGAAGAATTGACCGTGTCACTTCCAAAGAAGATGCGATTGTAAACGAATAAGCGTTCCAAAATCCCCACTTCCGATATCAACAAAAGCAATCCTTCTTGAAGTAGTTTTCTACACCACAGATTGCTTACGCACGAACTGGGCGAAAATCAGGGACTCAAACTGCAATAAAAATGGAAAAGATTTCACCACACTACTACTTAGAACGTTTCTAGAACAGACTCGTAAGACTGATATAAAATGACAATCAAAAAATTGCGATCAGTTGCCAAATTTTCACAGCCATGTTAAAATTTCTACTGAATTAGTTCTAAGAAAGTACCTCAAACTTCACGGTCTCAATATTGTTCCGCCGATAACCATCAAAAGGAAAATCCATCAAACGTTGTTGGATATCCTTCCCTTTTGTCGACAAATCATTAGAAAAAACTGTCACCAGGAACTTCCGGGGCCTGTATATTGTAACAGTAAACGAAAAGTTACAGTCTTAACAAGAACAGATCCAATAAACGTAAACAGACTTGTAAAACTGATAGAGGATTAACCACACTTACTTAAACGTGTCAACAACTTGTAATGCCTGATTATAGAGAGAGCACGAGTCCTGATTTGTTTCAAAACTAGCATACGAAAAACCTGGCTCTGGCGTTACATGAATGGTAATGTATTTGTCCTGAACAAAGTAAGTTTTTGAGCAGAGCTAATTGAAACTCATTTTAAAAATTCCTTCCAGTCCTGACTGAAACAGGGAAAATGCTAAAAAACGTCCTAAAAAGCAACAACGAAATAAAAAAGTGAGCACAGTTAACCTCCTCATTATGTTTTGAAAACTATTTGCTAAACTAATGAAAAAACAGTTTTCAGTCCAAAAACAACAACGGCGTATAGCTTGAGAAGATCTCAGACTTGTTTATTGAGATGTTAGAGAAATGATTTTGACTTTAGATAAAGAGACCGGGAACTTAGCACCGAACCTGCTGTATTAACCACACTAAGCATTTTTAAAATTCACTAAATTCACTAAACTACCAACAAGTTTTTGCTGCAAACCTACCATACCATAAAACAGGAAAATCACCAAAATGTTGTTTAATCTTACTAATATAAATGCAATCCACCATATTCACACATCTGATGATCATAAAAGATAAAGATAATATAGATAATGAGAATGGCGCTAAAACAATAAAGCGCATGTAAAACAACTACACTCCCCAGCCTGCATTAACTTCCGTAGGAGAATAAAGATCCACCCACTACAAGGAAGAATATTACCTATGCTGTGTGATACAACAGAGCCAAACACTTCTCAGCGCCTATAAACCAACTCCATACTAGTTTGCTAGTATTTTGGATTAATAGCCACCCAGTAACAAGGCAAAATACAATCAAAAACTCATAATAATGAGAAAATTTTGAAAGCTTAAGTTTTACAAAAATGAATATACTCCAAAAACTGTAAATTAACAAAATTTACGCCCAAAAAAAGTTTTAGGTATCAAATACAGACTTCCTCTACGAACAGCTACCAGCAACCTCAAAAAAAAATTTGTCCCGTTATTTTATAGTATTAAATAAATTTCCTAAAAAGAAAGCTGAACGATTCTTTTCATTTAAAAATTCTCCTTCCACAGTACCGTCAACCTGTGACATACTCCCGCGCATAAGAGACCGCGCGCAAAGTGAGCTGTATGAGCTCGCAGCATTCAGACTCATCTTAAATGACTACAATAGATTGAAAATTGGGGAGTCCTGAGAAGATCTAAAATGCAGTTTAGAAGTAAAGAACTCGTGCAAGACAACCGGAGCTATTCAAAAACTGAAAGTAATTATAACAAATGCTAACAGCTCTACAGTAAGTACAAAGATAAACGATAGTTAAATTAGAAGTATTTAGTTACCGTTTTAGGCAGCAGTCCATTCATACTATATCCACAAGGAAGAAACAACTCTTCATGTATTATTGTTCCAAAGGGCATGATGCGGCCAATCCCAGATTTCTGAAAAACAGTTGCCGTTTTTCTGCCCACAAGCAAAATTAGAAACTCTTTTCATCTGGAATGTAGAATAACATGATAAAATTTGCTTCTGCTAATTACTTAACAATGAAAAATTTACTTCTGTACAGTCCTTGCCATCTTTGCATACAGCTTTACTAAACACGCACAAAATATCGTCGGGCATTTCTGTCATCAAGATTTCAAGCGTATGTTCAGGATGGCAATCTTGAACGTTTCGCAACGACATTGTATACAGATACCACTGGTCCTGATTTGGTCTTCCTAATTGGTAAACTGAACCAACTGAAAAACACGGGAACCAAGTAAAAGTGAGAAATCTGACATGTTCAATGGAAGCAAGCTTTTACACTTAATTTTGAAAAGTCAGAAGTAAAAATGATCACCCTGAAAATAACGGTCAAGATATTTGGCTTCATCATTGAATTCTTGATGTGGCTTCGGCTGCCGATCAGGACGCATAAAGTTCTTGTGAGAATAAAACACTTCAATAACTTCGTTCCGATTGCAGTATCTTCGAGCCAACTTCAGGAAACGTTTCAGAGCGCGAAGCGGCATTGTGGAACCACATGTTTTCAAAATCAAGCGGAAATCAAAGACGAACATGCTACTTTCGCTAAATTTTCGTGCTTGTTTATATACAGAGGCTTCCCCAGGCTTTTAAAATAACAGCAAAAAAAACGAAATCACTAAAAGTTGCATATCATTTTTCAAAAGCACCTAACAAGAAAAAGTAAGTTATAAAATATTAATCAGCATAATTTATGAAAAGACGAACCTGAGCACATAACTATCCAAGTATTCATTACTAGCAGAATGCAAAATGCGACATTTCGCGACTTCAAGCATACTGGCCAATTCCCGAAATGGGATCGACCGTAATGAACTAGCACCATTCTCCTTCTCGTCAAACCAGATTTCCAAAACTTTCTCAGCACCTAAAGATGAAATATTCAAAAGCAAGAACAATAAACATAAAACATATACTTACGACAACTTTTTAAACGTAATTCAGGTTGCAAAGTAAATTAAGCATATCATCGGAAAATAAGACCTTCAAAAAAAACATCATCTTTGAGTTCCTCTAAAGCGTTTGAGCTGTAATCAGTAACCGAGATATTTTCGTACGACGCATTTTGAAACGATGACGATGAGAACGGCATTCTTCCAACCCTAAAAGTCTGATAAGAAATAATTCAAATCTTAGTCCACATTTTGAAATATGTTACCCTTCTAAAATATATACAACATTTGAGAAAAACTTTTCTTCAAAAAAACTTACAGAAAATTTAAAAATGAAAATCTACAACACTGGAAAATAAGAGGAGCCTTGGGCGACTGTTAAGGGGGTCGACGGTGGTGAACAACAATTAAGGCCTTGTGCGGACCCATACAATAACACTGCAGCATAATTAAGTTTAAAAAAAAAAACATGAAACAAATCTATAGAAAAAAATTGCTCTAAAACAAAACTTGAGTGAGAAATTATCATCGATGTGGTATACACCCATATCCTTCAGAGCCGCTTGTAAGTATGAGACTATTTATATCTTGACCAAAATTAAGTTTACGGTAAATCAACTTAATAATATCCAATGAAAATAAAACCATAAAAGACTAAAGAATAAGAATTGACTCGGAAAAAGTTTTTTAAGATTACAACTGGCTTAGAAGTAATACACATAATCACGCGAAATCCAAGAGTCTCAGATGTAATTAAAATTAGCTAGAAAGTAATCTAATCCTGGCCTAACATTAATTCTTAAAAACACTCAAGTTACTTAACATTTTTAATAAAACAACTTCTATCACTGCTCATTCCCAGGTAGCTAAGAAATATATAGAAATTCTAGCAATATTAAAAAAATCCCTTACATGGTTCAACGACCCTACATAATTTATTACTCTGATCATCAAAAAATGTTTACAGGATATGCAAAGTGCGGTATTACAGATAGTTCTCTAAAAAAAAAAAAAAAACAGTATTTGAAGGATAAAAGAAAGGGAAACAAATTCGAGCTCAAAACTACGCATTGTGAGGATCCAACCAATTCATACAAATCGTCACTCAAATCTGCTCACAATGAAAAAAGACCAAATTTCAAAAAAAAGAAAAATTTACTTATTTCTTTCTGGAAAAATTCGACGATCAGTAGTTTTGATAATGTTTGTAAAATCAGCATATTAAGAAGAAAATTAATTGAATGCGGTTTCATTCTACTGTTTACTCAACTTCCATTACCAACGTCAACCCTACCTGAATAGCGAGAACCTAACTAGTGGGATAGGATGGTAATGCTCTATGATTAGCAATTAATTAGTAAAAAAATAATTTTCACTACTAAAACACTAGTAAGATGTAAATTAGCAACTGAAGACTCACAAAATTCGACTGTCAGCTATACTTCTCCTTGTATCCTAACGACTGTCTTACAGTGCGGTCAAAACGCATGCAAGTTTTTGATCGTTCAAATTTCTCCGCAATTGCAGATTTACTAAAGCGATCGTTTCCTAGAAACTTTCACTCGCACAGGCAACTTCTTCCGTAGTATCACACAAATCGGGTTTCTAAAAGCATGTCTATCAACTAGATGTACACATTTTTTAAAAGTTAAAACGTAAGAAGCTACAGATAAGAACGAATTATGCCAGCAATAACTAGAGAACAGAAAACGTGCAAAAATTTACTTTATAATCCTTTTTCAAAGTACTGACGTACTGACCACTGTTCACTCAATGGAAACAAGCCCTGCCAATTTTAGGAACAATTACTGTATTATATTTTACTAACAGAGCGATACTTCTACCTCACATCTCCTAACAAAATCTCCTGATTGCACCTATAAGTACTATACAACGTCGAACATAATTTTTGGCATTCAGAAGGCTCAACAGACAATTCACTGATGACTCCAACCTTATATCAAACGAGCTAAAAAGCAATTTTAAGCCATGTAGTTATCCAAGTTCCTACAATTACATTAACTACCCAACCGTCTTAAAATTCCTGGTTTCATTCTAAATGAATTTTCACTCCTGCGACGAAACACTTCTAACATTTGAAAGTGCTCCTACAATACTCATCGATTACCAGAAGATTTAACATCGAACGAAATAAAAAGACGTTGGAAATTACTGGGAAAATTCTGAAGTATATATCAGAAACGTAAAAATAAAACAGCCATGTTTCCTAGGAGCAATCGTTCGCACAAACTGGTAAATGAATTCTATTATTTCTACAAGAAGTTAAGGAGCAACACAACAGACCAGAAGTTACAGAACACAAGTGTTTAATGAACTGTTAAAAAAATTCAGGCCTATCAAAGCGTTAAAATTACTAACAGAACCATTAATATATGAGCGGCTTAAATACCGATCACTTACGAATACTTTAGCACTAACACTTTATGATGGGAAACCAATATTTGCCTTCTGACTTGGCTCAAATCGGTCCCAGTTGTACTCCCCTTATCAGTAATATTACTTTTTCTAGCCCTGCATGCCAAAATACTTCTCAAACCATTTCGCTTAATCAATACCGTACCAACGGCCATCCCCAGTGAATTTACCTATCACTAATTCTAGGCTGGTTTCTTCTCTTCACTTAACTCATAAATGCATTGAAAATTCCCATAATCATTCGGTTAATACTAAAAATGAAGCACTCTTATTACAGTTACAATTAATGATAAAAAATTTGTTTAACTATTAAACAACGTAGTTGCTCATTTCTCAGGAAAACCACTTTCTCAGCCGTTTTCTCAACGTTGTCACCTCTGAAACCCAAACCAACGGATACACCTCGTTCTCAAAAAACTGCTTGTTTAGAAATGATTAGTGCTAAATGCGTTAATAGTGAAAACATTAAAAATTTACACCAACCTACCCCCTCTAATTCTCCCCTTTAATTAGCCAGACTGTAAGTCATCGGTTCACAGTAAGGGTACAGTACGAATTTGTCCGGAAATATTTTTTTTGCCAAGATATTTTTGTTATAATTGGGCAAAAACGTGGGTTGAAAAGCGCATAAGATGGCTTTAAATATTCCAAAAAGTTTATGCACTACAAAGTTTGGGCTTCATTTACACTTGTGTTATCATCGTTTATCACCGCTCAACTGTTGGTCATTAAGCGGGCGGATGAATGCACTCTGCTAACAGAAAAATAAAATATCATAATTCCATAAATGGAAGATACAAAAAACAGAAAAAATTGTACTTGCTTACCAGCAACAATTTTCAGTATCGCCTAAAAAATGAAAAAATGAAAAAAAAAAAACAAGCAAAATAAGTATAGTTTGAAAGCTATAACCATAGTTGAAATTTAACAGTTTTAAGACTAAACAATTTCAAGCAAATAGAATATTTTTGAACCATTATTGAGAAATACAAAAATGCCAATAGACTATTATATCTAAAAATTTTTGCACTATTTTATAAATTCAGCAACAACAATTTTTTCCATTTTCAACCATGCAAATTTACGGTTGTTGGCATTAACCATTGGAACTGCTGCTGCTGCTGCTTCTTTTTGGCCACAGTTTAGTATCAAATTCACAGCAAAGTGTATGTGTGTATCCATCTCTAAAAGCATACAAAAGTATTCCCTAAAAATCGTTGCGGCTTTTGTCTGTTGCAAACAGTGAAAAACAGCAGTTTTTTTTTGGCGAATTGCTTATGTGCGATATATCAACAAATTAAAACTTTCCACACATCTTTCATACAAATATTGGCAGGGGAGTCACACGTGTTTCGTAAAGGTCATAAATAACCTATTAGTGCCCCCATATGCATGTATCGGTGTTAAAAAATTAAAATCCATAATGCCAGGAGAAAGACAAAAGCACAAAAAACAATAACAATCGTGAGAAAAATTATACAATTTATTATTCAGTTAATTGTCCCTACATTTAAACTGCCTTTTGCTGATCATCAAAATTAAATTTATTGCTTTAATTTTTTCTTCTCATTAATTCTTTCTTTTGTAATTTCTAGCTGAAAAAAGGAAAATTTTTAACATTACTTTTAGTCATATGCAATTTTATCACGACTATCATTCGCCTG